CGCTAACTAATTTACACAGAGGAATCCAAATACTTAGCAACTGACTGGATGCATTTTGTGCTGAATTCACTTAAGACTCGTCTTGTAGCTGGTGTTGTGAGATGCGATATGCTTAACGAGGGGCGTTGTCACTTTGACTGACAAAGTGTACTTCAGACTTGGTTCCCGGCTTAGGTTTACGTGACAGAGGCCTCCAAGGCGGAGCGGGAGCACAAGGATGTCCTAATCTAAGAGATTACACTTGTATCATAGGAATAAGTACCTGAGATATTGCATTCTCCAATGGCTCTAGTAGATCCAGGATGTCGGGTAGAGTTCCTAGGAAGTGAGTCACCCATGTAAAAGCGGCATACCTTCAGTAAAGTGAGGAAAAGGACTTAGAATTGGGCTTGGGTTCTGACGGTTTTGTGTTGCTTTTTCACTTGATGTGCAGCCGTTAGAATTCAATTTTCCACCGTTACTTGCAGTTTTTCTTCCATGGTGGAATTGATGATTTCTTCAGTTTTCTCTCGTTTCCCCTGCTGGCCTTCACAGGACTCTTTCCACGGCGGCTTAAAGTTTCTTGGTAAAGCAGCTCTTTCGCGTAGTGATAAAACTTCTTCAGTTTGTTGGTGTTTTCAATGGGTGTTGACCTCGTCTTGAAGAAAATTTACACCTATGTCGATTTCTTGAATGAATTTGTTATTGGCTTCTTTCTTTAGTAGAGTAACGACGTAAAGTGCGAGCTTATTTGCATCAGTATTACGGCTCTTAAGCGATTCTCGAGCTTCGTCAATTGAGTAAAGCTTTTTTAGGCATGTTGATATTTTACTAAGAGGTGGCGGCTAACGATTTCGTCCTCACTCTTGCTCACCATGTCGAAGCTTGTAGTGTCGTTGCCTTCGTTCACTTCCAACAGGTTTTTTTTTGCTTCATGTCATCTGGGGATGAGCTATCTTTACTGAAACGCTTTCTTCTCCTTCTTCTTCTCGCTTTTCTGTTGATTGGCTTGCTCATATATTAAATTTCAATGATTTTCAATGACTTTTGAAGGAGGGTCAACATGTACGTCTGCATCCTTTAGTTGCTAGCTTCAATCTTAAAGTCTCGCATGAATGCACTTAAGATTTTTTGATTTTTCACATAGTGGCTAGAGACTTTGTGATGTTTCTCCAATCATGGCCTGTTTTTTATCTTCCTGCGTAACTAACGAACTCTTCTTTAAAATGGACGACGATTAAACGAGACAACGAGACGCCCTTCCCTTCTGGTAGCAAAAATAGTTCTCTAGTTCTCTAGCGGCCATTCCCTTCCCCACCCCCTCCCCCTCCTTTCCCCCTTTCACACCTTCATGCTCCGAAGGCTATATCTCGATTATTAATCATTAAACTTATTTTATGAAGATAAATAGTCACCAAGAGTATAAACTATATTCCCTCTGGGTGTAAGACAAAACAGAAGATCAGCTGACGGGTCTCTTAGGACTGATGTATCAAACAATACAAATTTGCGACTTTGGCGACAAAGTCTATCTATTGTAAAGCGTTTATTGTTACAACTATCCATGAAATTATCTATTTATCTTTTCTTGTGTTTCTTTCCCAAAGTCAGTGGGATTAAAACTAGGAAGAATACTCTGTACTTTTTTGACTTACAGTTCTTCTAATTCCATATTGTTATTGAATATGTCTTTTGGCAAGTCCTCCAACTGGTTGTTTTGCAAGGACCTGTCAACACAGGACGAGAGTTAGTAAGTGTAACAAGTCTTCAGCTGCTCTATCATTCTTAACGCATTATCGATATCATCAATACTATTATGTACCTAGAAATTTTTTTGGTAAGAACCAATCAAAATATTTCTAAATCTCGCTCTTTGTTCGTGGAAGTCTGCTAAAAGTTTAATCCATAATTTTTTCATTTACATCCTTCTTATGAGGGATCCCCAAAAATTTATGTGATCCCTTTCTACCACTTACGACCAATTAGTTCTAGGACTGTTATGGAAAAGGGTAATTTTCCATGGTCACAACAGAATAAAAGAACCACAAATAGTGTTCCATTTCGCTACTTTAGAACCCCGGACATCTTTGAAGAGAGTTCTCTGAACTCCAAAGCTGAACATGTTTCACTAGAACATTATTTTGTAACTAAAACCGGTGAACTACAACCGTAGCTGCCGCTTAAATCGACTCCAGCATGAGAACAGTGCGCAAACGTAGAACTTTGTTTTGCAGAGGATCTTACTGAAGGCTTTGGGATGTATGAAACAGCTCAAGAAGAACTTAAGGAACATTTGTTGACTTAAAACCGATTGATTCATTTTTGTTCTACAGCAGCTTCTGTCTTTTGCCTATCGAGGGTCTCGGACAGTCTGGGTTCCATCACACCTTGGTTCATCATCCACTGACATCTCGCAAGCGTAGAGCGGTGAAATCTTGTATATAGTCGTTTTTGTTTTTGTTTTTGTTTTTTTCATGTCGTTGCACATAGAATGTTCGCTAACTCTTTTTCCTTTGCTGAGGTGGCATTTGATCTTTTCTTGCCTTATTAAAATCCTACCAAATCGAGCGTTGATCGCATTTCAATAACAAGAAAGCCGGTGAAGATTACGTCATTAAGTTTTAAGGATACCAAACAAAGGAGAAACGCATATTAAAAATTTTCGTAATCTCACACGTGCGTTGTTATGGCTTTCCTCAAGGATGGAAATTCGCAAAAAACATCCGATTTATAGTTAAAACTGTTTCAGTGCTGTCCAGTGATATCTTTTTATGAGAGAATATGCAATGATTTAAATAAATTTTGACTTATTAAGATGGTGATAGGATAGGATAGACCCTAAAACATACCCGCTAACAATCTAATTTTGTTAGTTCTATGCTCTCTTTTCCGTGTTCCATATGAATGCCGGAAAAAAAATTAATAAGCTACCCAGCAATACATGTAAGGGGTAATTGTGCTGTAACCTTCATAAGAGGACAGATGACATTATATTCCATACGGGTACAATCACTAAAAACCGTTGGATAACTAGTATTTGTCTTGTTTGAAATAAATTGTGATCTAATCGCAAAATTTAAAATTGCAACTTTCCTTCAAAAGTGATGATCACAACCTCTGCCAAAAGGAGATCACGGTTTTTCTGGGAGGAATGCAAAACAGCTCTATTGAGAGCGAGAAAACGACATCGTTTCCTAGTACTATCTAGAAAACGAGCGCGAGGGTTTCATCAGGTTCCCAAACGCGAGAAAACATTTGAAACCACGAAGCCTGTTGCCTCTTTGTTTTCTTGTTTTCAGGCGTTTAATTTGGAAACCTGATGAAACCCGAAGTACGAGTTTTTGAAATGAATTCTCCAAAGAAAAAATACAAAATTATGCAATGTCGTATTTTTCCCATTTTTCTTTAAAATGCCTCGTAAGTGTGATTTGTTGTATTTAGCCGGCATTCATGGTGTTAGTAAGCTTTTTTTTTATTATCCAATAGTTTCGCGTTGCACCCAAGTTGTATTCCAAAAGCGTTGTGAACTTCATGTGATTTACATATTGTTTCTGCCATGGCCGAAGGAAGGTTTCGCTTGCCGAAACCAATCGAGGAAGAAGAACTTTGCGCAGAGAGAGCAGTACCGAAGTCTACCAGATATAGAAAGGTGTGGGCAGTAAGCTTTCTTGAGGATTGGCAACGAGCGCGAAGTGTCAAGTTTCAAATAGTCGAGTAAGAAGGTGTTTCAGTTAGCTTTGAATATGAAAATTAAGTGGAAATGTGGCCAAAAATCGAACATTTTCAAAATATGGTGGCAATAGCCGAAAAAAAATCGATTCGGCTCGTATTCTCAAGTTAGGTAGGCGTTATGGTGAGACAAAGCGCTGTATACTTCGTTTGGCTGAATATCGATTGATTTTCGAGAAAATCGATAAAAGCTGAATTTAGCCCAAATGCCGCTTTTGAAGCTCAAAATTTCAGACGAATCTCGGAGTGTCGCGCCACGAATTGAAAACACTTTGACTGATAAAAGCTACCAAAACTTGAAAAAAAAAACATCAATACATAATTTGACAGCAATTTGAGCAATTCTTGATCACTTATTTACACAACGTAATTGAATTTATCCGACCTTCTTCTAACAGGATTAAAAATAGGTCAAAAGTAACTATTTAATTATGTGCTATACAAAATAATCGACTGAAAATTTGACTTTTGTAAGGCAAAGTGTGGTTCTTTTCGATCTCCAAAGGATTTTTTTGGGGAAATGACTCAGTGCAATTTAATCAAATTTTAAAGTTGGATAGAATGAGCTGATTTGACGATGCCGTCAGTTATTCGAAAATGTACCCATTCACACGCAAACTCGATTGTTTCGCATTTTACATCCAATCTACAAACTCGATTGTTTCGCATTTTACATCCAATCTATAGCTTATTTAATATAACATCATCTTACCGTCCATATTGCTGTACCACAAAAGGGGATTGCAGTCCTGAATGTGCTGCATCGTTCCCATAATAGCGATGTAGCTTTGCAGGGTAGTCAACACATCCTGATAATGATTGTTTACAAAGCGTATCTCAAGGTTTCTCTCTTTCCATTTCGTTGAAATACTTCGCATAAGAGATCTTTGTTGAAATATAAGTCTACAACCGAGCCGTGAACCAAATGTAAGCGGAATGTTGCTAGTTCAGAAACATGTTTTTCACGTGCAGAATAACGCTAATTAATTCAAAGTGAGGTCTACTGAAATAAAACGCAAAAATAAAACATTGGACGATAAAGCTCGTGGCTACAGGAACTAAGGTCGTGTGTTACATATACGAAACAGGAGCAAACAATTATCTAACTCCTATTCTAAAAAAAGCGTCCGACCTATTTAGAAAAACCTATTTTCATATAAAAGTTAATAAATCAGGAAGGTGTCATAATCTCGTAAATGGGCGAACCCCCCCGGGCAGTATTCTCGGCAATTTCATGTCATTTGCTTATTTTGTTTACATCGCGCCCTTGACAAAATTCACTGTTAACTGAAATGAACAATCTGAAACAAGTTAAACAAGACTCCAAGTCACTCACGCATTACGTCACGACGATTTCCTTATTTGTCAATGATATGAAAGACAGCGGCTGCATCGTGTTAGAGGCGTCAGAAGCTCCGATTTTCATGTCTCAGCTTTTATCGAAGCTTCATGAAAGAGACAATACAAACTGTGGAAGAGAAATGCAAAGAGCGGGAAAGGAAAAAAATGTGTCAAACCTCGTAACCTGGTTACATCGAGAGGCAACCCTCCGCTCCAGAGGCAAACGAGACGATGACAACGCCGACGAAAAAGAACGTACCCACCGAGGACCAACCTTTAGAAGAACAGATAATCACGCAGCTAACAATGATAGAACTCCTGAGCAAGAAGCGTGTCCACTCGGTTGTACGTCGAAACACCAGTTAGCGGCCTGTCCGTTGTATCAAAGTTCAACTGTAAATCAAGGATGGGACGTAGTCAAACAGAGCAAAAGATGCCGGAAATGTCTCAGGCCACATCATACGAACGACTGCAGGAAGCCAGACGGTACTACCTGCGACAAATGCAAAAAGAACCACCACCGTTCTCTTCACAACGAGAAGATTAATTTAAATTTAAGCCCGCGCGCAGTGCCTTTCCGAATGCAAGATATTCCTGCAGAAGGCAATACCAACTGCGCCACTAACCACAAGAAAGATTTCAAGCTCATCACTGGTTTATGTCCTGTCCAAAAGGTCAAAGTTATGGACTCAGGTGGAACGCTTGTTGAAATACTAGCGATGATAGATTCCATATCAAACACAAGTCTGCTATCAGAGAATGTAGCTAAACGACTTGGAATAGCTGGGACAGTTACCCATCTTACTATGAAACTAGCAGGTGGAGAGAACAGGTCTGAAGCTTCAGAAATCATCGAAATCAATATTGCCTCGACCATAGAAGAGGATATCAGAAAGACACTGGAAGTATACACTATAAAGAAACCTTATAGAGCCGCGAATACGATCTCGAAGGGAACTATTGAACACTTCCCTTATCTCAAACCAGTGGCGAACAAACTGCATCTATCTGGGGAACAGTAGATCTCATTGGTACAGATTTCGTCGATGCATTCGTCGACATCGATACCTTGTCAGGGGAACCTAGAGAGCCGATTGCCAAATGCAACTGCTTCGGTTGGCACGTCTTGGGACAAGTTAACAGTTGCACGATACAGTCCGTTGAAGTCGGAACAGTGAGCATTGAAGACGACTTTAAGAAACTACTTTATCAGGACACGCTGGGAGTTAAAGCAAAAGAACTGTGTACATGTAGTGAGAACGTGCTACTAGAAAACAAGTTCGTCAAGTCGCTGTCTGACTCAATTACATTGGTAGATGGGAGAATCCAAGTAAGAATGCCTTGGAATGAGAATGGACCCCCAAAACGCAGGAATTATGACATTGCCCTCAAAAGAATGCAGTCTGCCGAAAACTCGTTTCAGAGAAAAGGATGCTTCGAAATCGTAAATGACGAAGTCCAAAAGCTGTTGCAACAAGACTTCATAGTTAAAGTTGCTACAGAAGAAGTTGATCACAGCCAATCTGAATGGTATCTGCGGTTACAAGCAGTCTTCACACCAGAGAAAACCACTAAGGTCTGCCTTGTTTTCGATGCGTCTTCAAAGGGTCACGACGGTCTTTCCATGAACGATCACCTTGAGAAAGGACCTAATTACATTAACAGTCTTCCCAATGTACTTATGGGCTGGCGATGGAACGAAGTGGCTTACTCGGGTAATATCCGAAAAATGTTTAATAAAGTCCTAGTGAACCCTGACGACCAAGTTTTCCATAGGTTCTTGTGGAGAAGCGAAAAAGTGAAACGCCCTCAGTCTTTCAGTGGCTCAGATTAAATTTCGGCGACAAGCCAGCACCAGACATCGCCTCAAACGCCATCAATTACTTAGCCAAGGTCTCACAAGTCGAATCTCCGGACGCAGCCCAGGAACTGTGATATCACATGTACGTGAACGATATCGCGGGCTCCAAAAGAAACTCAACAGAGGCCAGGAAACTAACGAAAGAAATTGACACCATCCTCGGAAAAGACAAGTTTCAAATTAAGGCGTGGCACTCCAACTGCTCAGAAATCGATCAGTCTAGCGGTGAAAGATTTACAGGTCTGCTTGGCCACAAATTGGATAAAGAAGAAGATAAGTTTACCTTCAAGAAAGAAAACGTGGTTGGCCTCTTGGAGGGCTTCTCCAAAACAAACTGCCTGAAATTTCTCGCTCAACTCTGGGATCCCATCAGACTTGTTTCACCCGTTACTATGAAGTTCAGAATTTATCTGCAAGCACTATGGAGTTCAGGTTGCAGCTGGAACGACATCCTTCTCAAGTGTATTCAGCAAACATGGTTATAGAATGTTCAGACCATAAATGATCTCTTGTCATTTCAGTTTGACCGTAAGCTAAAACCAAGTGCAGTGGGCGTGCCTCAAATTCACGGATTCTTCGATGGTGGGGAAGAGGCTTATGGTGCAGTAATCTTCCTACGATGGAAACTTACTGATGGAGACTACCAATGTGTTCCAGTCATGATAAAGGCTTTCGTCGCACCGCTGAAGAAGAAAAGCATCCCGAGACTAGAACTGTTGGGCTGTTTAGCACTTGCAAGGATGTACGTTACATGTGTAAAGGCCTTGGAGTTGACAAAAGCCCAAGACTGGGAATGATTCTTCTGGGTCGATTCAACACCCGTTTTGTTCTAGGTCAGAACGCCACCACGGGAATTCAGACCCTTTTTATCTACCAGAGTGGTAGAAATCAAAGAGTCAATTGGGGCAGACCAAACTCGCTACATCAAGTCTAACCATAACCCTGCAGATGATCTAACGAGAGGAATCTATCTTAATCATCTCGTGAAGTGGTCGAAGGGACCATCCTTCCTAAAGTTGCCAGAAGAAAAATGGCCCAACTTTCGAGACCACAACCAAGTTAACGCTCACATGGACGATCCCGAAGCATTAAAAGAGAAGAAAGTATTTCAAAAAGAGAAGAAAGCCAGTAAACATTACAATGCTTCTGCTCGCAGAAGTATGCCCTGAAATAAATCAGCCTGAATCTGAAGGAAATCCTATCCTTTCACATTTGCTGAAAACTTGTTCTACGTACTCCAAAATACGGAGAACTCTTGCCTACCTCTGTCGTTTTATTCGCAACGCACGAAAAATGAACACGAAGTCAGGACCCATTTCAGTTCCGGAACTGAAGGCTGCCGAGGCCCGTCTTCTGAAGAGGAGTCAGTTTCCCGTTGACGAGGGGAGATTGGAGAAGAAACTGATGGCAACGAAGGGTGAAGGCGGCCTTCTTCGTGTGCATGGTCGTCTTGAAGTTGTTTGATCTCTCCCTGAAGAATTGAGAAAGCCTATTATCTTACCACAAGACCACCCTTTTGTATTTTTGCTTCTACGTGCTCTTCACGAACGACGTCGGCACTGTGACTATAAGAGTTTAAGCACCAGGCCAGAAAAAGACTTTGGATCATTGGACTCCGCAGAATGGCAAAGAGCGTCACCTCAAAGTGTGTCACATGCAGAAAACTACGAAAAGGCCCCTCAACCAGCTCCTGGGACAGATTTCAAACATAAGAGTAGCAGCTGGCTTCCCGGCATTTTCAAACAGTGCCATGGACATGTTCGGACCAATACAGATTAAGCTTGGCCGCAAGACTCTAAAAGAGGCCCAGGTGATCATCTTCACCTGTATGACATTACATGCGATCCATCTAGAACTGGTCACTGATAAAACCTCAGATGCATTTTTCATGGCTTTTCGGCGATTTGCCTGCCTTCGGGGATACCCCAGTGTATGCTGGTCAGACCATGGAACAAATTTTGTGGGTGCCCAAGGTTACCTAAAGGAAACCACAGAGAACTGGGATTTTCCTAAGATAAAGAGTGTCCTCTCCGATAAATTTGGCTGCAAGTTTAGATGGGAGTAGAACACACCACATGCGGGTCACCAAAACGGAGTTGTTGAGACCCTAATTAAGTCAGTCAGACGAGCACGTAGCGCCACTTGCAAGAACCAAGCCTATTCCGAGGAACAATAGAGAACATTCTTGTCAGAAGTTACCTTCCTAGTCAACGGACGACCGCTGTACCCCAGTTCCTATGATATCTGGGAAGTACCACCGATCACTACCAACGACCTTCTTCTTGGCCATCACAATCCACCGCCACAGCCAGAACCAGGGGAAAGAACCAATCCGCGACAATTACTCAGAAGCACAAAACAGAGTCGCTGATTTCTGGAGGAGTTGGATGAAGTATTTCGCCCCAAACTTGTTACCAAGAAACTAGTGGTTTCGCCTGCGAGATAACATTCAGACCGGTGATTTTGTATTGGAGCTAGATCCCAAACAAAAAAGATGTGAATGGAAAATGGCGCCTATTATAGGCACCTAACCTGGAAACGACGGCCTTGTCCGAAAAGTGAGAATCAAAGCAAGAGACGGAGAGTACGACAGACCTATTCACAAACTGTGTTTGATTGCTGCAAAGGAAGAGCTTAATGCAGGACTACTTTGGTTTAGATCAATTCAAGAACAATGAACACTTGCATGAATCTTTCAATCTTAAATGACAATTCGTTGCTAAAAAAGAGTTAAACTCTTAATTTCCGCACTCGGGCGGAGTGATTTGCACTTAGTGTTTAATAGTTCTGGCGCCAGAGCGTTGTCCCAGGGAGTCTGGGGACCACCCCCCCTCCCCTATTATTTAAATACGCGACGAATCCAATATTGAAAATAATGGTCAGCCAGAGATAACGTAAAGATCTATAAGATGTATGGAATACCCTACGAATTGTAAGTTACATTTCTTTGAACTCTCAAATGTTATTCTATATTTAGAAAAACTCTGTATTTGGTTTTTTAGTTTGACTTGCTTCGTCTGGCAACTAGTACGAAAATAAACGGGTCACCATACATCTGTAGCCTTTAAAGCTACAGTAACGCTTCACATCAAAAGCGCGAATCAAAATTCGCTCGGAAATCGCTACTCTGATCTGCTGATATTCCCGCCTACTCGGGATGTATTTGGTATAAATTACCTTCAAATGCCTGAAGGTAATTTTTTCAACTGATTGTTTTGCCACCACCCACCGAAGATGATTAAGAGTGATGTTAATTACACTGGATTCGTAAAGAAAATATGGAAGTTGTTATTCTCAAAATGAAATTGATGTACTTTTTCATATTCTACACAAAGTCCTAACGCATATACTCTAACAAATTGATTTCGTACATGATCCGATGTTTTCTTTTTGGGGTTCTGTATTAACGCTTGAAAACAGTTAATACGCTACTCAACAATACTGAAAACGTAGAAGGTAAAATTACACTTTGTATTGATTGTATGGGAGGCTGAGGGTTCGTTACCGACAACGGCTAAGAGTGGAAAACTTTGAAATAATAGGTAAACACAAAGTATTTCAATAGTTTTATTTAAAACTATATATTGAGCACGCGCATGCAAATTAAAAAAAAAAACTACTGTATAAGTTTTCAACTTCCCTGCACTCTTACTAAATTTTCTTCTTTTGACTGTATGTAATATTCAAAATGAGTTAGAGTCAAACCTACCAAATGAAAATCAGAGGGGTGTTTTTATCGTTAATCGCTGAAACCACACTTGGTGCTAACTTTGTGTAAGGAACCGGTCGAGATGACAATTGCCTCGAGTAGAGGTAAGGATTTCAAATAATTATAATTTATAAG